AGATCGACCACAATGATATCGCCCCGAGGTCTAAGTATGGGCCATCATGCAGATCCAAGTGGTAGCTATCAGCACGCTGGTTCAACATTGCAGAGACCCGTTGCAATTTGCCGAAAGAAAAGCAACATTTCTGGACGCGCAGCAGCAGGTTCACCATATCAGCAATCATACAAATTTGGAGCTGGCCAACCAGTGACAGCAGCATGTGCGAGATATCTTCAGCCCAGTCAAGCAGGAGAGACAGGGCGCCATCGATCCTGCCATGCAACGTGCAGGAGAAACAGCTCGGCGAGCTATGGCTGACGGACGGCGCGGCGTTGTGGCTTAGGCACGCGATGTGTGGAGGAGGTCGCCAGGGGCACGGCGCGGGTGGACCAAGGATTGCCCCCCCCCCACCCCCCCCGCGGCTGGAATACATAAGATTGCTGACAGGCGTGTTGGCAACCCTGTTGGCATCATGCAGGGTAAAGAAGACTGGGTGGGCTAGCAAGTGGACCGCTGCGAAAATTAGACAATGCGCACTGCGACATGCGCTCATCGGGTGCCGGAGTTTGGCTCAATTGGAACAGTCGGACAACGTCGCTATCGCAGAGTTGGGCGCGACCACCGCCATAATGGGGGTCACGAAAGCAAGGGGCGTCAATGCCATGGGCTCCTTGGACATGGATATGTTCCCCGAACATGTCAAGATTTGGTGCTTGCATATCCTGCGCGTCGTCAGCAGGACCTTGCGCGGCCGCCCCAGATCCTCGGTGCCATGGGGGCTTTTGCAGGTAAACCAATGGGGGGTGGCCGTGTGCTGGGACTTTGAAAGGGTGACGGTGCGGATGTGGTCGCGTATCCGATCAGGAGTGGTGAAGTTCTGGGCGCAAAAGTTGGAGGATCATTGGGGCGCTGCGCTCGCGGGATCATCGTGTCTACGGTCGGAATTGTTGCGAGCTGCGTTGGGCGAGTGTGGCTGAGCCATGGGGGCATCGCATGCTTGGCTATGGAGAAGTGTTGTTATTAATTTGATTTAGGCTGGTAGATGGACACAGGGGTTAACTAGGATTCCTCTCCCACTGTCGCAGCGTTTGAGGTGGAGGTGGCGGCGTCAGCTCGCGCCCCGCCGTCTTTGCCAGTGGCGAGTTTGGGTCGGCAACAGGGCTGCCCTCCCCTGCGCCCGACGCCGCGGCCGTCGTGAACCCCAGTGCCAGCCTCGGCACGGGAGTGGCCCCCGACAGAGGCCACAGTGGCCCGTCGTGCGGCGGTGGTGACTGAAGAAAGTCATTCCACGGGTCCGCCACGTCAGGCGGGGGCTTCTGTTCCTGTCCTGGGGTGGCGGCGCTAGTGGCGAGCCTACCCTAGTCCTTCTCCTCCTACTCCCCCTCCTCCTTCTCCTCCCCTCCGTCTCGTCTCTTCCTCCCTCCTTCCCGCCCTTCCTCCCTCCCTCCCCCATCCATCCCCTCCCGCCCCTCCCGCGCCCTGCGAGGGGATGGGATGCCGACGGATGGGCAGCCGCCGCCCCCCCCCCGAGATTCGGTCTCTTCACAGTCAAAATTACACTGTACATCAGAGATGGGGTACTGTACAACCAGCAAAGGATCAACTCACATGGTTTTCTTACGGGGATGGCCTGTGCACGACCCGAGCAGTTTTCTTTACAACCAAAACGACCACTTTGCAACCCAGGCGGTGCCCTTTACAACCAGAACGGCCACTTTTCAACCAACGTTCAGAAACCTCTGAACGTTTTGCAGTGGCTTCTGAGGTGTCAGAGTGCCTGTGCGTTCTGCAGAGGTTTGCGCCTGTACGCTCTGCAGAGGTATTTGGGGTTTCTGAGCGCTCTGCAGAGGCTTCTGATCGCTTGAGCGTTTTGCAAAGGCTTCTGAGGCTTCTGAGCGCTTGGGCGCTTTGCAGAGGCTCCTAAGACTGAAAGCGCGAGAGCGCTGTGCAAATTCTTTTAAGCTTGTGTGCGCTTCGGCGCTCTGCAGAGGCGTTCTGAGGCTTCTGAACACCCCAGCGATCTGCAGTGGCTTCTAAACTTGTGAGCGCTTCAGCGCTCTTTAGAGAATTCTGAGGCTTCTGAGCGCTTGAGCGAGCTTCGGAGGCTTCTGGGGCTCTTGAGCACGCTCCAAAGGCTTCGGGGAGAGATCCAGAGGTTTCTGAGCGCGCTGCAGAGGCTTTTGGGCGCGCTCCAGAGGCGTCTGGGCGCGCTGCACGGGCTTCCGGGCGCGCGCTCCAGAGGCTTTTGGGCGCGCTCCACAGGCTTCCGAACGCCCTCCTGACGCTTCTGGGTGCCTTTCCAAAGGTTTTTGAGTGTCTTCTAGAAATGGCCCAAGCGCGATCCAGAGGCTTCTCAGCGCTCCGGAGTGGCGTTTGAGCGGGTTCCAGAGGCTTGTGAGCTCGTTCGTCGTTGTCTTATTTTGTCGTTGGTCGCTGCCCGTCCGTCGCCGCCGCCTCCGTGCCCTATCGCGCGCGCGCCGCCCCCGGCGGAGATGAAAAGGGTGAGGAGGGCGAGGATGAAGAGGAGGATGTGGATGGATGGTGGGGAGGGCGTTGATGACGCGGACAGTGGTGGAAGAGGCTGGGAATCAGGAGGATGAGGCGGATGAGGGCCGTCGGAAGCTGCGGGGCCGTGGGAGCAGGAGTCGGATAGATGACGGGCGAGGGGGGAGACGAGGGATGAGAGGCAAGACGGAGAATGGAGGGCGTCAGTCGTCGTCGTCAGTGGTCGTCGTAGCCAATCATGAGTCGTCATTCGCAGTCATCGTCGTCGTCGTCGTCTCACTTTGCCGTCGGTCGCTGGCCGTCCGTCGCTGCCGCATTCGTGCCCTCTCGCTGGCGCGCCGCCCCCAATCGAGATGAGGAGGGTGAGGAGGGCAAGGATGAGGAGGAGGATGTGGATGAAGGATGAGGAGGATGACGGTGACGAGGACGTTGATGGAAGAAACTCTGAATCAGAATGATGAGGGGGATGAGGGCCATCGGAAGCTGGAGGGCCGTGGAAGCAGGAGTCGGATGGATGAGGGTTGATAGGCAAGACGGAGAATGGAGGGCGTCAGTCATCGTCAGTGATGGTCGTCGTAGTCAATCATCAGTCGTCGATCGTCGTCGTTGTCATCGTCGTCGTCGTCGTCAATCGTTGTCGTCGTCGTCGTCGTGGTCCATTGTCGTCTGACTTTGCCGTCGGTCGCTGGCCGTCCGTCGCTGCCGCCTCTGTGTCCTCTCGCGCGCGAGGTGCCCCCTTGGGGAGATGAGGAGGATAAGGTGGAGGAGGATGATGCTGATGATGCTGATGCTGATGCTGATGCTGCTGCTGCTGATGATGATGACGATGGTGGTGGTGGTGGTGGTGGTGATGGCCATGGTGGTGGTGGTGGTTGTGGTGATGATGATGATGATGATGATGATGGTGGTGGTTGTGGTGGTGATGGCCATGGTGGTGGTGGTGGTGGTGATGATGATGTGGAGGAGGAGGAGGAGGAGGAGGAGGACGAGGAGGACGAGGAAGAAGACCGCTGCCCCATGTGCCACAGTCGGATGGACCGTGATTTTTCTTTTGCTCGAGTTTGTTGCGTTGGTTCGGGTTTGTTGCGTTCGACTTGGTTTTGGTTTGTTGCGTTTGGTTTGAGTTTGTTACGTGTGGTTCGGGTTTGTTACGTTCGGCTTCGTTCGGGTTTGATGAGTTTGGTTCGGGTTTGTTGCGTTTGGTCCGGGCTTGTTGCGTTTGGTTTGGGTTTGTTTCGTTTCGTTCGTTTTTTTTTGCATTTGGTTCGGGTCAAACGTTGTCCACGTCGTTCGGTCTTGTTGCATTTGGGTCCAGTTTGTTACGTTTTGGCATAGTGTGTTGCTTTCGGGTGATGGTCACTCCTACGGACGATTCCTGTTGGTGTTGTCTCATGTGGTTCGAAATTAGTTTTTTCTGTTGCTTTCCATGGCCATGCCACGTTCTGGCATCCGCACCCCCGCTGTTTTGATTCACCCCCCGTGGCCCAATGTCTTCCCCACATTCGCTTTATCCTCCTCTCCCCCCCTCCGCCTCCTCCTCGTCCTCATCTTCCTCCTCTTCCTCCTCCTCTCCCTCTTCCTCCTCCTCCTCCTCCTCCTTCCCCTTCTCCTCCTCCTCCTCTTCCTCCTCGCCCTCCTCCTTGTCCTCCTCCTCCTCCTCTTCCTCCTCCTTCTCTTCCTCTTCCTCTTCCTCCTCCTCCTCCTCCTCCTCCTCCCCTCCCGCCTCCTCCTCCTCCTCCTTCTCCTCCTCCTCCTCCTCCGCCTCCTTCCACACCACGCCGCCTCAAGCTTCTCTCTGCCTCCGTGCCCTTGGCCTCTCATTCCCTCCTCCTCTTCCTTCCTCCTTCTCTGTCCTCCTCCTCCACAGTATCCTCCCCCCCGCCGTCGCTCATCTTAAGTCGGGTCTGTCCTCCTACAGGGGGATTTTGGACGAAAAATAAAGGATAGCCAAAAAACCCCAAAATGGTTAACAAATATTCGAGAAATCGTCCCCAGACTATTTTTGGAATATTTTTGAATATTCCTCCTGTAGAGGGACACGCTGGAGTTAACGCTCATCCCTTCCCTCAGAGCAGCGAATTTGATTGGATTCCAATGTGTTCGTCTGGTGCCTAAAGGATCACAGCCGGAAGGGACTCTTAGTGGATTTCATTCGGCATCCGCTGCTTTGCAGATTCTTGCTTCAGACGAGGCACACTACAGCTAACGCGCTTCAGATAGCGAGTGTTTCCCTTCCTTGGCTCCACGGAGATTATGGACATCGCAGCGCGTTTGTCTCTAAGGTGCGTTTACCTGCCGGGTTGTCAACTGGCCTTCTTGGTTGTGAAGTGCCCTTCTGGGAACATCCATGCTGGTTGTTAAGTGCCCCATCTCGGTTGTAAAGTGCCGTTCGGGTTGTGAAGTGACCCGCGTCCCCCCCCCCACCCCGCGCCCCACCCCTGCCGCCGCCGCCCGAGGACGCGAGGGCCGCGACGGCGGAGTCCCGGTCGAAGGATGCGATGGCGCAGGCCGCCGCGCCCGCCGAGAGGGCCACGATCAGGGAGTTATTGTTGTTGTTGTTGCTGCTGTTGCTGTTGATGTTGTTGTTGTTGTTGTTGTTGTTGTTGTTTTGTTGTTGTTGTTGTTGTTGTTGTTGTTGTTGTTGTTGTTGTTGTTGTTGTTGTTGTTGTTGTTGTTGTTGTTGTTGTTGTTGTTGTTGTTGTTGTTGTTGTTGTTGTTGTTGTTGTTGTTGTTGTTGTTGTTGTTGTTGTTGTTGTTGTTGTTGTTGTTGTTGTTGTTGTTGTTGTTGTTGTTGTTGTTGTTGTTGTTGTTGTTGTTGTTGTTGTTGTTGTTGTTGTTGTTGTTGTTGTTGTTGTTGTTGTTGTTGTTTCTTTCATTCGTATCTAGGAAACTTTTAAAGTGTACATATATATATATATATATATATATATATATCTATACTATATAAGTAATAAAGAACATCTTCTGGCGCGTAACGGTCGTTACCCAGGCCAAGCTCGGCGGCGAGCTTGGGGGGGAAGTGAGAGGGAGAAGGCTTTCTCAGAAGGCTCGGAAGCCCTCAGGCCTGCTGAGAGGCGTGTTTTTCTGAGCCTCCCCCGAAGACGCAGAGAACACGTTTTTTTTCAGAAGGCCCGAGGGATGCTGAGGAGTCCCCGAGGGCCTCTGAGGCCTCCCGCCGCCTTCTGAGCAGGCCTTCTCCTTCTCACTTCCCCCCCCCTCGCCCGCCCCCGACAAAAAGCGGCGCCGGCCGTTAAAATTGCCCGCGGAGGCGCCCCTGCCGCGCTCTCGCCGAGGACCGGGGAGGGACACGCGGCGCGAGCGCGAGCTCTCGGAGGTCCGCGCAGAGTTCTGGCGCCTGCGCAGGCTCGACATGGAGTTTTTCAGGAGGGGAAAAAACACACAGACACAATTACTCGGCGATTCCCAGAACATTTGGGAAAATATAGGAAGTGGGGGGGAAGACAAAAACCCAGAAAATATGGGAAAATATGGGGGATCATTTTATTTGTGTGTATTTATTTGTGTGTCCCAGTTCCCCTTCAGTTCTTGTTGTTGTTCGTTTTCTCCTGCAGTGGAAACCCATGCCAGGAAGCACTCTGCTTGCCCCCCAGGGTGCCCTGGGTTTCTTGGGTTTCGATGGTTTTGCCAAGGGAGGCGTGCCGTTCCCACACCAAACATCGATGGCCGTCCTGGGGTCTCAGGGTTGGGTTTCTTGTGGAAGGCTTCTTGTGGTCGGCCCCTGCTATACGGCGCCTAACCTCCCTGGATAACGTTAACGATTGTACTCCAAATCTCTAATTCATCCTCCCCCAGGTCTGGTTTTTTAGGGCGCCTTTTTTGTAACTGGGGGGGTCTAGTTAATTAGGGCGCTCTCTTTGGATCGAAGCTTAGGGGGTCCAGTCTCTTAAGGCGCCCCGTCGAAGAGGGAGGTCCGGAATACGTAGCACCCCGCAGATGCGGATAAGAGTGAGGGGGCGGTGGAGACGTCGGCAGTTTGCGAGACTCTGGAGAAGCCCGCCGCAGGCGCCAAGATTTTCTTAATTATACAACGAGCCCGCCGCAGGCGCCGATTTTTTCGTTAAACCAATGTGGGTAGGTCGCGGGTGGGTCGCGGGTGGGTCGCTGTTGGGTCGCGGGTGGGTCGCGGGTGGGTCGCTGTTGGGTCGCGGGTGGGTCGCGGGTGGGTCGCGGGTGTAGAGGGCAGAAAATCCACCCCATGACAAGCGAAGCCGTTTAGTAAACGCACACAAGGAATGAATCGAACAGGGCAGGGCTGTTTAGTCAACGCCCAGGGCCGTTTTAGTAAACGTCAATTGTCGGGTCCGGTGGTTTTTCCTCCCTTGAGGGTGGCTCGCGGGGTAGGTCGCGGGTGGGTCGCGGGATGGGTCGCGAGTGGATCGCGGGTAGGTCGTGGTTGAGTCGCGAGGTGGGTCGCGGGTGGGTCACGGGGTGGGTCGCGGGTAGGTCGCGGGTGGGTCGCGGGTGGGTCGCAGGGTGGGTCGCGGTTGGGTTGGGGTTGGGTCGCGGGTTGGTCGCGGGGTGGGTCGCGGGGTGGGTCGCGGGGTGGGTCGCGGGGTGGGTCGCGTGTGGGTCGCGGGTGGGACGACGACGAACAACAGCAACAACAACAGGAGCAGCAACAACAACAACAACAACAGCAGCAGCACCAACAACAGCAGCAGCAACAACAACAGCAACAACGCAACGAGCAGAATTCTCACCACGAGTTCTCTATCAGCCACGCACCCATGGACAATGAATGACCGTTCGGTCCCCTCACTCTGATTAGGTCGCATTTGGAGGGGGGTTCGTTTTTTTGGGTGGGGGGTCGATTAATAAGGGATTTGGAGTACGTGGGGGGGCCTGGACCCCCTGCCCCACAGCCTGGTGCTTGCGCGCCTGCTGTGGCGATCGCAGCGCGCCCCCGCCCCCGCCTGCCCCGCTCCAAGCAAGCCGGACGAGATCAAGTGAGGAAGCAGGAGAAGGTGCCGATATCGCTGCATTGGACTCGTTTCGTTTGTTTCTTGGCCTCCTGGAGGCACTCGAGTGTTCGACTCAGCATGTTTCGAGGGCGATTTTGTGGACTTCATGACCTCGCAGTAGCCTGCCTGCAATTTTCATGTTTCAGAGGGGTGTGTCTCATTGCATGTTTTCCATCGCCGTTTCCACTTGTGGGGCGCGTGCGGCCTCCGCGCGCGATCGGACCTGCACTGCACTGGAGGCACTCGTCGCTACGGCTGGATTCGCCGCGAAATTCTGGTCAGCATGCACCCCAGGGGAGGTCTGGGGAGTGACTGTATTGGTATCTTTTGGTTTCCCTGGAAGATCCAAGCATGCCGATGCAGTGGTTGACAATCGAAGGGCAAGGCCCCGCAGGAGCAGGAGACCCCTGGCGGCGCCTCCAGCGCCGATCCAAGAGATTCGCGCGGAGCTCCGAACGCTTATGTTGATTCCTTTTTTGCTCCTCTAGACTCTAAACAATCAAACCGGGCGATGAAAGTACGCCGAAACAATTCTTATCTGTCAGCATCGGGCTAACCTTTCGTCCCTTCCGGGTTCTTCATGGTCCGGTTGGCTGCTGGCTTTGTGCATGCAGAAGGGTACGGGAGGGAGCATTGCCCCGCCCTGTGCGCAAGAAGCCATCATGGAAATCCATGCCCCGGGCCCTCCCTACCTAAGCCCGGGTGCACGGAAGGACAAGGGGAGACGAACACGGTTTTGGCTGCCGCCAACATCAAACATCCCAGGGTCTGTGAAAGGCTCCAACCGGTTTTGGCGTGATGCGTCTAGATCAGAAGGGATGGGAGCCCAAGCGTCTTTTCGGTGCGAACAAAGATCACCACGGGAGGTTCTTGGCCGTTCTTGGCCTCCGAGGGCCCCTGCCGGGCCCGGGGGCCGTCAACAAAACGACCAGGGGGATGAAAATCCGACTCTGGGGGAAAGTCGGGGGCCCTCTAAACGGTGTGGTGACCACGCCGCGTCGTGAGTCGTTGGGGATTCGGGGTCACCGCACGGCTTTGATCCTCGGGTTGTTCTCCGAGGAAGTCTCGGGCGACTGGGGCCTCTGAGAGAGAGAGAGAGAGAGAGAGAGCGCCATGCACGTCAAAGGTGCGTTGGCAGCAATGTGCAAACTGCAATCACATTGCTATATGCGTGCAAAAATTACGTGCCGCGTGACGCCCAATACTGGCGTTCCCTTGCCATAGTTGCCATTTTGGGGCCTCCGAGGTCCCAAACTCGTGCGGTGACGGGCCGCGCGGTGAGGTCCTCCCGGACTGCAAGGTCCCCGCGCGGTCCGTCGCCGCGCGGTGCCTCGGAACTCTCCCAGGGGAGAGGGCCCGCGCCTCCAGGGGCGCGCCCGCGTGGAAGAAGCCGCGCCGCAGAAGGTTTTTGGGAGGGCTTGCAGGGTACGCGCCGGTCGTTGAAAGTAGGTATTTTTGGATGCCCGAATCCTAATCTACTTCAGGCGCCTTCCTACTTCAAGAGTCGAGCGGTTTTCCTTCTTTCCTCCTCTTCAGGGGGCGGGCGGAAGTCCAATCTATCTCCAACGCCTTCCTACTTCATGGTTCTACCCACTTCTTCCGACCCGCGTGTACTGGGGGGGGCGATACTTGGGGGGGTAGCGAGGGCCGCCGAAAAGTGGCCCTTTCGGGCCCCGGAAGGGGCCCGTGCGGCTCCAACAGGAGGTCTCCAGGGCCCGAGAAGTGCATTTTTCTTCCCCTCATCCATGCAGCGCCCCCCGTTGATTCGCTCCCGAGGACCCCCGAGGACTTCCAACGCCTTCCCACTTCATGCCTCTGCCCCTTCTCTTCCGGCCGGCGGGTACGCGAGGAGCATGCTTCGGCAGCAGCTCATGGGAGCCTGGTGTGCCCTCGCACTTTTGCTTTCAGCGTCGGCTATAGCGTCGATTGTAGCGTCTGGGGGAGTCGATGAGAAAGCGCCGATGTCGCGTCGCTTAGCGCCAGTCAGCGTGGATTTAGCGTCGATGAGCGTGGATTTAGCGTCGATTAGCGTCGATTCGCAAGAGCCGACAAGCTGGTATGGGAGGCTCCCATGAGCCTGAGCACGACGGGGACGGAAAGGCGAGAGTACCGCGGGAGGCGAGGGGGGGGGGACCTGGGGAGACGAGGGGGTCCAGGGGAGGCGAGGGGGCTGGACCCAGACACGCCCGCGCCGTGGAAAAGTCATGACGCACGGTGTTTGGGCGTTTTCGGCCTCCCGGGGCCCTCGCTGGGCCCCGGGACCTTCAAGAAACGACTCGGGATGGAAAAACCGGCCCTGGGGCATGGGCTGGGACTTCCGGGGACCACGTATTGGAAGATCAGGACGTCGCCCGTCTGGGGAGACGGCGAGACGGCGAGGGATCTCGCGGCGAAGGCGGAGGAAGCGGGAGATCCTCGAGGCTTTCGGGCGCTGCTGGCTCTCTTAGGGCCTCGGGGGGCGCCTTCGGGGGCCTCGGGGGACCTGCGGGGGCGTTTCGAGATTCCAGGAAGGGAGGTCCAGGGATTGG